TGAGAGAAAAAAAACTATATACAAGAAAAAAAAAAGAAAAACAAATAAATTCAGATTCATCGACTGATTAACATTGCAAAAGACGTTGTGAATAAAAGAAGAATAAAATTCAGTGGTTTTATTGAGCTAGCAATAGCAATACGACATTTAAGTTGATGAAAACGTGACATTAGAGAATTATTGCTCATTAATATTTCCCATTGTGTATCCATAGCATCACCATTAAAGAAATCATTATAATCAATAAATGGATATTCATAACCAGGTCGACAACGACATTTATATTTACCTAAAAGAAAACCACGACCAAATACTGGTTCACACTAAAACAAAAAATAAAATATGATTAATAGAAAAAATTAATATTATGAAACATACCACTGTGCTTTGATAATCACAACGATCACTGCCTTTAAATGCATTTGGTACATAATGAGGCATTGAACATTGATTGATATCCAAATAATTAAGATAAGCATCAACTCGTACAACACCCCTAAGAAAAAAACATATTCCATGAATAAGAATATTTTTTGTTTTCAAAACTTTTACTTGAATTCAAGATTAATTCCAAGTGCATCAAGTCCAAAAAATGGTACAGCATATGTAACAATCCATTGTCGAGGTAATGTATAATTTCTACTACATTGAAATGTTGGTGGAAACCATTGACCATGTCTAAAAAGAAAAAAGAAATTTATTAATTTAAATACAATTATTAATTATTTATTTTACTTTAATTCTGGTGTATAAGAATAAAGTGGAAAACCAGATTCATGATGTACTAATGCATTACCAACATAATCAGATCGAATAAATAATTTAAGCCAATGTTCAGTTAATTCCGAACGATCAGCATTTGTTGCCCATCGAGCTTTTAATGTCTTAAAATAAAATAAAATAATTTCAGGTATCGATAATTGAAAATTAGAGCTAGTGATTTTCTTAAGTTTTATTATACAAATATCATTTGAATATGTCTTTAAATTAAAATCTAAAATCATCTTACTCGAAACCATATTTCATTTTCATAACCATCAGGTAAACCTGCCCAATCAACAACAGTATATTTTCGACTAATATCTTTTTCTGATCGATAAGCATATGGTCCAAAATAAGGAAAACGATAATTTCGAAATTTACCACGATCAAAAAAAATACCAACACCAACAACTTTATAATCACCACCAGCTGCAGCTAAAACTTCACCAATTAATTGTTCATCAGTTAAATCCAATTCAGCTTTACGTAATGGAAAATCTTCAGCTGGATTAACAATTTGATAAAAACTTGATAGAAAATGTGATAATGTTAATGCTAAACGTGCTTGAGATTCAAATTGAATATCAACATCATTTAAAACATCACCTGGCATTGTTAATTCATCTTCAGTCATAAATTCACATAATTGTGGATCACGATTAAGACGATCATAGAGTTGCATTATTGATGCAACACGTGTTGGACGTTCATATGCATAACGTTTTGTACGACTTTTTTTCATATAATCTTCTGATTTATCATTATTAAAACCTGTGACAAGTTTACCAGAAAATGAAGCAAAATGATTAATAGATGATTTAAGAAAAGATGAAGTTGGAGATTCTATTGCTGCTATTGGATTTACTTTTGGAACTGAAATAAGAAAATATATATATATGTGATTGAGAAAAACAAAAGATTAAACCTACTAGATTCAATGAGTGGTGGTAGAATAGGATCTTTACTTAAATCATAATAAATTGATTCATTTGACATATTACCATTGTAATCAATTGATCGACGTGTACGTGAAGCAAATACTTCGATATTTGATTGATAGAAGTTTTGTGGAACTTGTAAATATACTAAAAGAAAACAGAATTAAATTCATTTAAAATCAGATAAATTGATCATAAAAAAGTTGAAACACTAGAAATACGTAAGATCAAATATGTTTTCTTATTCTAGGCGCTTTATCTATGATAAAAAGCTTAGACAGATCAAGATTAATCCTGAACTGAAATCAAAATAATTATTTGAATAACTGATGAAATTCTCTCTCTATCAAATACATTCCACATCGAAATTTCATAGATGGACTGAGAGGAAAATTTCTGAAAAGTCACATAGGATAGTTTTCAGGTCGTTGAAAATTATGTAAAAATTAATTCTTAAGAGTGCCATCTTACAATGTACAAATTTTTGAATCAAATTATGGATTACCACATTTAAAGTTATCAGCATTACAAAGCAAATTTATCATAACATTGCTAAAAAGCAATTTTCTTGCGATGCAAATAACTTTTCTGAGGGAAAGTTGTGGGAATGCAACGACAATTCAAAATAGTATTTGGACTTGAATTAAATATTTAGTTAAATAAAATTCTCAAAGCTCTCCATTATGAATATCTTATATTAACTTAAAAATATTTAATTATCATTATAGTAAACAAAACATAATTGATATAATACATACATTCAACTTTAAGACAATCGAAATTTTTTTCATATTCTTCTTTTGTAGCTTTTTCAATAATATAACCTTGAAATGGTCCATCTTGATATGGTGGATAACGAAAACCAGGTTGACAAAGACATTGATAACCACCACGTCGAAATCCAAAACCAAATAATGGTTCACAACGTGTTGTTGGTTTACATTTATCTGTACCAGCAAATAAATTTGGTTGTTTCGATTGTGGATCATTTGTTTGTGCACTTGTTGGACCAACTTCAATACATTGATTAATATCTGTCATAAGAAAATCAATATGAGTTACAGCAACTGCTAAATTACGCATCGATTGTAAATGTCGATATTCCGTATGTCGTGGATATATGTCGACAATAGGTGAAACAGCACTAATTATCCATTTGTCTGATCGACCACAATCAAAATATGGACGTGTCCATAGAGTTGGACCTTGATAAATAAAACAAAAAATTTTTAGAACGTATTATCATTAATAAACTTACCTTGTGGATCTTCTGGATGTGGTGGTCCATAGAATTCAAAATTTTGTGGTACATCACGAAGTTTATACATTCGCTCAGCTAGTAATAATTGAACGGTATGCACTGGTTTACCTATAAGACAAAAGAAATAAGATATGCATTTTTAGATTTCTTAGACAAGATGTTTGTTCTCTTTTGAACGAGTTAAAAATTATGATTTTGGATTCTTTTCAAATATGAGCCTAGAAATTTTGTTTGAGAATAGTGAAATAATCTTTGGAAAGCTCAAAAAAATATTGGTTTGAACAAATAATTTTTGTATTTTCACTATTGTAATGCGAAACTAAAAGTTAAGATCATTATTAATATATCAACTTGTAAATCAGAAGCTACACAACAAAATCAACTATTTGAATCTACTTTTCATCTTTCCACTTGAATAGAAGCTACAACTTAGTTCAATATTACATTTTGTAGACAAGTCATCGTTTTACAAAAAAGTCGACTTCAATCATTTATGAGTCTTTCAAAAAATCTGCATAAATCTAATGTGGACACTAGGAATACAAATCGGAAAAGAAATTTTTTCCATTCATAAAAGATCTGTTTATATTAGTTCATTAGGGATACATGCTGTGCTGATTATTGATACATAAAGCATTATAACTAATGAAGAACAACATATATGGTATTTTGATTCAAGATAGTTCACCTAATCCGGCAAGGTCCATATTCGAAAACTGTACAAAATCATAGTTTTTAACTCGTTAGAAATGTTTTCTAGTAGATAAAAAGTGAATAGTTGTTTTTACCTCGTCCTTGATCATTTCGTGTTTGATCTGGTAACCATTTACTATACCATTCATTTCTTCGATTATAACGTGACGTATATTGATGATTTCGACCTGCACCACTATCTTCTTCTTGAATAGTGTGATTTGTCCATTCATTTCTCCAATTAAATGCATCTACAAAACAACAGCAAATTTTTTTAAAAGTTTTTTACAAAACTGAAAATTTTTTTGTTTTTATTTTACCGTAGAAATCATCAGCTCGCCAAGCATATGGACCAAATAATGGAATTGTTTTATTAAAAAAGTTTTTATACCAATGTGGATAATATTTATCTTGATCAAAATAAACTCCTGAACCATTAATCATACTTCGACCACCAGTTATATCAGCTATAATATATAAGAATAGAAATTTTTATAACAATTTTTTTTGTTTCTAATTACCTGCATTATGTAAAAGTATATAAGTAAGACCGGGCTCTTCAAAATCAAATAAACGTTGAAATAGATAACTATATAAAAGTGCATTTCGATGAGCAATATTTCTTATATGTAATAATTGTGTTCTATTTCTCATAATAATATCTTTTTTAAGCATTTCAATTGATGGTTTTTGATAAACAGCTTCTTCAGGTAATACTAATTCACTTGGTTGCTTTTGAAAACAATTCTGACCATTAACAGCATTCATACGATTCATAATTTCATCGATTTTATCATATTTTATCCATTCAAATTGTGAATGACTTCTATCGAATAAAAGTATACATAACAAAAGAGATATACATAAACGTATAAATACGCTCATGATAAAAAAATCTGTAATAAAACAGTAAAGAATTCAATTTAGTAAAACTAATTAATTCAATTGATATATTTAAAAAGGAAAAACAAAAACACAGTTGATCACCGGTCGAAGGTCATCTTTGTACCGAAAAATTGACAGCGGCCATGTTGAGAATTCAATTGAAATTATGAACTCTTTTACCTGTCACAGAAATAATCAATCAGGTAATAAAAAATAAAATAATTTTCGAAATATAATACAATGATTCTAAAATTAGATTTTTTTATTTAAAAATAGAAAAAAAATAATTTGTAGTTGTCTATCTTTTGTTATATATTGTGGTTATAAATGATAAATGGATTGTAGCGCTTGAATTTCAATTAGTTAAAATTGATTTCCAATCGAATGAGTTATCAACTTTGGTGTATCGATGCTTTGTTGTTACAAATAAAAGATAAATAGAAAAATAATCATCATTTAGAATGTCTGCTTGGCGAAAAAGATTTACGTAAGTAAAAATTAAAAATAATCAATTCATTTACTTGAATTTTATTTTTCATAGACGAAAATCACAAAGAATAAGTGAAAATAATGAAATTTTTTTGAACAATACAATAAAATATCGTAAAAAATTACAAGCAGCAATATATCAAATAAATCGAACTAAAAAATGTACACAACGAAATATAGATAATCCTGATTCTGATATACATGGTAAATATCAATCTTTTATTTTATCATCAAATTATTATTTATATTTAGTTGCACGACTTATTAATGATATTGGTCAACTATCAGATTGTAAATCTTTACAGGTATTTTAATGTGAAAGAAAAAAAAAACTTGTTCATACAACTCATTTGAGACTAACATGTGGAACTTACATGTGTTCGTTAGCTTAATACTTACGAGGGAAGGTCACCAACTGTTCAATCGCTTTTGAGTAAGAAATATGTGCATCATGTAGGTCCTAATGAGCTATGAATACCCTGAAAAGAGTTCGGGCGGCTAGCCCATTACTGTCGAGATACTGCATTTTTACGATATTGTTAAGCAGAACGCCGTGGTTCCCCTCAGGAGCACCAAAAAAACTGAGTTTTGAAGTTTGGCACAGAAACAGACCTCAATGAGAGTGGCTTATTTTGAAAGTTTCAGATCTTTTGGTTGCTCCTATTCTGAAATAAGCACATCGGAACCTGTCGAGGGTATACGAGCAGTGTAAAAACACCCTTTTTAGCTGTATCTTAGGATAGGAACAACCAAAAGGCCTGAAACTTTCACAATAAACTACTCTCACTGAGGTCTGTTTCTGTACAAAGTTTCAAGTCAAAACTCGAAACTCAGTTTTTCTGGTTCCTGAGGGGGACTACGGCATTGTGCTTAGTTAAAAATACCATAAAAATGCATTATCTCGACAATAATAATCTAGCCGCCCGAACTCTTTTCAGGGTATTCATAGCTCATTAGGACCTACATGATGCACATAGTTCCGACTAAAAAGCGATTGAACAGTTGGTGACCTTCTCTCGTTAGAGTATGGATGTAGATTTTTGCAACGTCTCATACCGATATCTACACTTGCTTTTGAAAATATATTTACTATTTTTCAATTATCTAGGAAATTAGTAGTCTAATTGATTCATTAGCAATGCGACATCAATTATCATCACGAATATTTAATGGTAATGAAAAAAAAAAAAAGACTGACTAATATCAAATTTAGTAATTTTGTTTTATATTGAAATAGAATATGCTATGAATTCACTTCAACAATCATTAGAAAAATTAAATAATAATCTATCAAATGATTTTGATAAAGTCAAATCTGTTTTTGAAGAAGCTGTAACAAATCATTGTTCTGATCATACAAAAAATCAATTATTTAATAAAGGTTTAATAAATTTATCAAATAAAAATATAATTTTTGTCATTTTTCTATTTCTATTATTACAGTTGAATTCGAATGGTTTAAACATAAAAAATTAGCAATTACTGAATTAAAATATGGTTTATCATCTTATTGTGACATTGGTTTATACAATCTTAGAATTCAAATAGCTATACTTGAAAAACTTCAAGTATTATAATAAGAATATTTATGTTTTTTAAAGAATTAGTTTTCTTTTCAATAGAATTTTATTGATCAATTATCTTCTGATGAGAATGATGCAAATACTGGATTACCTAATTTTAATACTAATAGTTCACAAACTCGAAAAGAAATCGATACTATGTTACGTATTATGCTTGATAGAGCACCAAATGATCCAAATTCTTTACCTAATTCTAAACGACCAAAATTTCTTAATAATCAATTCGTGCTATCAAGTAAAATATGTTTTTTTTTTGAACTTATATATTTGTTTTATTTGAGTTTTTTGTTTTTGCTGTTAGATTCTCTCTATTCATCTGAAATAACTGAAGCAGCAGCTCGTTCACATGGACAATCATTACGAGAACAAAATGCATGTTTTATTCCACAATATCCTTCTATGATTCCTTCAGCAACTACTGCTAGTGCACAAATGCCACAACATGAATCAATGATGATTACTCCACATAATGATCGATTTCAAAGTAATTTAATTGATATCGAAGATCTAAGACATAAGTTCATCGTTAGCATAGCTTACCGGAAGCATTTCTTTCGATTTCAATGATGTTTTTTTGTTACAGAATGTTCTGATAAAAGTCCTAACAGTATTGGAGTTCTCATTGGTTTTTGACTAAACTACTTTGCGTATATAGAGAATTCAATAGATTAGTTTTCATAAAAAACTCAGAAGATTTAAACAACATTTCTTCAAAATATGAAACTTTTAAGATGTATTGAATGTAATGTAATTGAGCTCTCTTTAGGTCAAAACTAGATAGTTTACTTAAGTATCAATAGCAATCCAAATCTTTTTAGGCTGTTTATTAGAATACAGTCATTGAAATTGGAACGAAGCAGCTGTAAAGATTGTCTCGTTAGGCTGTTGGAAACCAAAGAATTATTCCTTATTACTGCCGACAAAATTGAACTTTTACGGTAGTTAAATGAATGCTGTGGTTCAGGAACACCAATTTCCGAATTTCGATTGGAAACTTTGAATCAAACGTGTATTTTATATCGCTCATATACATTGGCAGATTTTATGTTCTTATTTCAAGATAGAAGTAAATCAAATTTTCAGGTGTTTCTGAGAAATGTTTCATATATCTCCAGAGCAATAAGCTAAGGTCTTCAAGTCCTTATGAGTCTGTAGGATGAACATAGTTTCGAATTCAAAATTTTGAAATCTAATCTAGAATAATTCCAAATAGACATTCGTTTGATTGAATGTTTGTTAAATGAATATCAATTTGATACAATGTATTTTGTACGAATTACTCAAATCAAATTGTTAAGATATTTTCATAGTATTGGTTTTAATAAATTCTTTGAATAATATTATTGCTCAACAATGATCGACCATTGATCATCAACACATAGGAATGATGTAATGAAATGTGACATCCTATTCTTATCTCGTTCGTATTAACAACATGCAATCATTCTATTCATATTTAATCACTCTCTATATGTGTGATTTTTCTCTTGTTTCATAACCGACGCAGTTGATTGCCTTTTCACTTCTCTCGATCATTGATATATTTTACATATAAACATGTGGATGTAAGAAGATTGGGTCATATAGTGGTGTGAAGAAGTCAAAAATAAAATGAACATCCTCACCTTTCAGGGATTCTTGCGTTCAAATTTGTCACGAGGAGTTCGAACTTAAAACTAAAAAATTTCAATTTCTGAGCAGCTTTAAATGTTTCAGATATACAAAATCCTTTTCTTAGTATGACCAACTCAAAAACTTGAACCAAACACAACTATCTTGAGTGTAATTTAATATAGTTTTTTGCATCCTGATTCTAACTACGGCTTTTGCAAAAACGATGGAGTTCCTTAAGGAACAATCTTTTTCATTTGTTATTTGATCCAACGATGCTTGTTAAAAGATGATCTGCTTTTCTGAGCTTCATTTTTATCTAGAACGTTTACTTGAATATCGTTTCGTAGCAAGATGTTAAGTTCTCAATTCAGATCTAAATGAGTCTCTATCGATAATAAAACTTTGAAAAGGATTGAACAAATAACTAGCGAATTCAATTCAACAGATTCTACCTAATGAGGAATATTTACATGAAGTGATTTCCTCATTCTTTTTGTTGTTCTATTTTTAAGAAAGATAATTGTTGATGAAAAATAAGATTTCTCATGAGAAATATATATCCATTAATAATAACAGATATTAATATCTTTTCAGTAAAATATACAAGAAATGTTCTTCAAAACTTTTTTTTTTATTTTTTCAGACACACCTGATAATGATGATGATAATTTACCTTCATATAGCGATTTATTCGTTGTACCGAGTAGTTGCAAACAAGAACGTATACAACGACGAAGTTCACGTTTCAATAATCAATAAATGAAATATTCTTGTCTATTTAACATAACATATCCTTGTATGTTACCTTTGTGTCTGTCGAATGAATTTTTTCTATATATATAAATGTCAGTATCAATATTGTGCAAAGATAATAATTCTTAATTTATATATGTGTAGATGTTGTTATTACCTATTTGTTGTTACTGTTTAATTAGTCATATTTTCTTTTTTTTGATTGTCAGAGAACAAAAAACAAAGATGTACACATTAATCTCTATCTGTTGACTTTGTATAGAGTTTTTTTTTGTGTCTTCTACTTTTTCTTCCAGAATATATTCATGACATGATTTCAAAAAAGCCTTTGACAACAAATGAATTATGTGATTATTAGCCATAGAGATATTTACTTTATCATGAAAAATCATACCAAAAAAACAATAAAAGAACTTAGTGAATAAAACTAAATACAAGTGATTCATATTCAGATGGAAAATTTTCGGAAAAAAAAAGAAAAAATCATGATCATTGTATGTAAGAATATACAATGATAAGAAGGCACTTCGGCTTTTGATACTAATAACGTGCAAGTATAGATCACCGGTTAATAACATTTTTTTTTTTTTTGTTAAAGTTGAATTTGTTTTATGTTCTATAGTTCTGTTACTCTGATAGGTACCGAACGAGACATAGACACTGTTCGATTGCTTTCATTGATTAGCATTGATGTATCTTGTAATGAATCATATATATGATTACTAATACTTGGTGATGATTTAGATGGAATTGGTGGTGGTGGTCGTTTTGGTGGTTTAATATGAATACGTGCTTTATCTGGTTGTATACACTGATTAATAAATGGTATAATCGATGATGAAGATGAAATTTTATTTGATTTTGAACGTTGTGTTGTTGATAATTGTGAAGAAATTTCTTTAGCTGATTTTGAACGTTTAAATATTAGACCATGAGTTTTTATTGGAGAAGTATCAGGTGGTGAAGTTGATTTAGTACGATACGTTTTTTCTTCAGTTTTATTTGTTTTAGAAGAATGAAATGATGATGAACGTGTAAATGATGTATTTGATGTTTTAAGACGATCTATTTAGGAAAAAAACGAAAGTATTATTTTCCGTTTAAAAAATGTTATGAATCTACGAGATACTTCGTTTGAAATTCTCAGTATATCATTTCGAATATTTTAAAATTTAAAATGGAATACTATTCTTTTCAGAAACTCTTTAAAATGTTGATAAATTGTACTAACTTCAAATATACTATTGACATTTTTCTTTTTTTCTTACACATCGAATAAAAAATATTTTCATTAAATATTTATCTTATAAATTATCAAATTCATTTGTAAATTTAAGTAACATACCTAATGAATAGGACATATATTTTGTAGATGTACTATCAATATCAATAAGTATATTATGTTTATCTGTTGAATTAGAAATAATTTGATTAATTGGTAAAGAAATACTTGAAATAGATTGTTGAATTACTGATGTTGTTGGTGTAATAAAATTAAAATAATGTTGATTAGGTAATAGATTAACAAGATTATCAATTTCATCATTAACAACTTTAATCATTTGTTGATAATTTCTATATAATTGTACACCATATAAAATAATACGTATACCATTTATCCAACGTTGATATTCATCATATGTATTTGTACATAAATAATGTATATATTTATTAGATTTTTTTTGTATATGTGCATGTTTTAATGCAAAACCATATGATGTTGGTGATCGTAAATATTCAATCCAATTATTAGCATAATATAATTGTATATTTGTATCAAATTTAAGTAAACAAATAAGATCTTGTTTCATTGATGAAGTTTTTGGTATTTGATAAATACCTGATTGACGTAAAATACATGTATATTTTTTCCATATTTTTCGATTTTTATCTTTTATATAAAGTATACTTGTTATATTATCAGGTAAAATAATTGTATCTGTTGATATATAATCAGTTAAAATATCATCAATAAATTTATTATTAGATGAAAAAATTTTTTTTGGTTCTTGAAATAACATATATTTATTTTCATTTTCTTGAAAACATATTCGATTATGTGTATCACGTGACCAATAAATTAAACCATCATTTATTAAATTTTGATGATCTTCAAATATACGATATAAATATAGATCAGGTAAATCTTCAACAATTGAATAATTTATTGTTGGTTTTAAATGATATTTATGAATAAGTAATATTAATATTTGATATATAGACATTGTTTCATCAATTAAAATATTTTTTGTTGATTGATCTTCATTATAAATTTTAACAAATAATTTTTTTATATTTGCTTCATGTATTTTTTCTAATGCTAAACGTATTTGATTTTCTTCATTATTATTTTTTAATGTATCACATGATATAACCTATTTACAAAAAAAAAGAACTTTTTTTAAAAATTTTGTTTTTTTTTTTTTTTATTTACACTAGAAGCATTTGATATTTGTTGACTTATTAATGGTAAATTAATTGAATCTGTTGATTGAGATAGACCACTATCAGAAAAATGTTCTTCATTTCCATTTTGATGATGATGATGATTTCTATTTAAATCACTTATAGCTGATGATGATGAACTATTACCAGAATCAACAAATTCAATTTCAATATTATTTAATGTATTAGTTAATGTAGCTAATGTTTGATCAAGTTCATTGAATTGTTCAATTATTGTTGATGAAATAGATTTTTTTTTTGATAAATTTTTTTCATTAGAAAATATTTTTCTTTCATCTAATCGTTGTTCAAGTTTATGAAGTTGATCAAGTAATATGTCAAGATCATTTTCTAAAAATGAAAAAAAAAAAACGTAGAATATTTTAATTTGTTTCCTTTCAGTAAGATTTTTTTTTTTTTGTCAAGTGCTGCAGAATATTTTATTTAATTCATAAGTATATTACACTTCTTCGTTCTGATGATGTAGCATTAAAAAAAAAGTGAACTCTCCAGAGGAAATGTAAAAAAAACAAATTTTTAGCTATGAGCATTTCGTCAATACATAATCATTTATATTATGCCTCAATGTGTATTTCCTTTCTTTCTAATGGGTATTACGTGATCATAAATTAATATTTATTTATTTATTTTACAACAAAAATAAAATAAAAAATTACCTTGATTTATATTAGATATTATTGGTGATAGTGTTGTTTTACTTCGAGCTTGTCGTTCTAATGTTGATAATTCTTCATAAGCTTCTCGAATTTCCTATAATATAAATAAAATAAGATTCTATACACATCATATTCAATGTTTATCTTTTACAAAGTACTGAGACAGACATGAAATTAGATGACAACTCTTCTTTTTTTTCTTCTTCTATTAAATCGCCTTATCTTTAGAAACTAAATAATGTCAATAAAACATTCTAGCCTATTATGTTAATCAGTTTATAACTGTTTCGGTGCCAGATGGAAAGTAGAAACTCATAAATCTATTACACATTCGCTTTAACAATCTGACACCGAAATAAATGCATTGACTGAACAGAAAAGTAACAGTCTTTGTCATCAATCATAATTCAAAGAAGTGTCTGTTTCTTATGAATTGGAATGATCAATCAAGAGGAAGTATGACACAATGAAAAAAAAAGAAAAGTAGTCTTACTTCTTTTAAAGTATTTAAATCACCAAGACAATTTTCAACATTTAAATTAATTGATAATTCATTTTGTTTTTCATTACTATGCTTATTATTTAGCATAAAATTTTCATCACGTTGATCATTATCATCCATTTCAGATTCTTCACTTATACTAGACATTGAAGATCGACGTAAATACATTCGATGATACATTTTTATTTATAATTAAAAATATCTTTAAAAGAAAAAAAAATAAAAATAAAAAATATCTACTGTTTCTCTACTTGTCTATTTTATTCATATATATGTAAATTGATTGAACAACGTCAGTTGTGATGTATGATGTAATGTTATGCGTGAAAATTCATAACGAAGTAGTAAGTACTACTTCACGCATGACATGTAGAAAGAAAAAAAAAATGACCGACCGGTGAACGTTGCTGTGTATTTTACGGTCAAATTATGATTTATTTTACCTTTTTTCTTTTTTCCCTCTTCTATAACGTGTGTGTTCAACTCACCGTAATAATGTTCTTAGTGGATTAAACTGAAGGGTGTGAAAAATTCATTACTAGTTCTGAATGTTTATTGGAAGAAAGAAACAAGACAAGCTTGATATAAGAAATGATAAGAATAAACATTCAGATTGCTAGACTCACAAACAGTACTAATGAATAGATAACCTTGTTGATGGCATAAACAAACTCTCATTCACTCAATATCAGCATGTCATCATAGTTGATAGAAATGGTTTAGTCTTAAAAAATGAATGAAATTTAAAGAATGTCTATAGGTGTTCGAAGTGGTGAGCGATATAAAGTTTTTCTTTTTTTTTTTCTCTCTCGTACCGAAAGTATGGTACTCTCATGAGTATTGTCCGATAGACTTTTTCTTTTTTTTTTTTTTCTTTCCCCTCTCTCTCTCTCTTTTGGTCTTTTGTTCGCTTTGTCTATTGTCTGGCTATCTTTTCTCTCATCGACTGCTTAATCATCAATAGTTTGATGAATAGCAACACACATAAAGGTTACGTCGTAGGAGTATTCGTGTTGAGGGACGTTCAATGTGTGGATGTATTTATTCATTTTCTTATCGTCACTTCATTTTCTCTCTTCTTTTTTTTTTGTGTCATACAGCCACTTATAAATAACTTATGCAAACACAAGATATACCTTACCCACTCTACCTTGAACTTCGACAGTCATTGATGAATATAAAACAGGATGAATCAATGGGCATAACTAAATGTATCTCGAAGATATCATACAAAAGAAGAGGGAGAGAAGAAAAAAAACGAGAAATATATGTTAAACAGTTAAAAGATTAGAATCACTAGAGATGTTCACAATATGTCTATGCATATTCGTTCATTTTTTTTAGTAGCCGATTTGATGCGTCTCGGCACACGAATACACACG